CTGTTCATTGGCCAATTGCAGGTAATAGAGATGGTGAGGAAGCGATTGTCTGTATTTGTATTCTTGACTACATTAGTTAGAATTACCTGTACCTAAGGATGCTGCCTTTTATTTACTGAAAAGACTTCGTGTGGTTTATATATATCAGATATTTAGAAATTTTAAAAATGAAAAAAATTGGACAAACAATTGTGTTGAAAGAAATCCAAATGGCCAATAAACAGAACTAACCCTCCATCTCCCTATTAATGATATATAGATGAATTGTCTCACAATAGTGGGAAAGTTTATGCAAGGTAATGCCCAGCCTGGCATGGTGGTACACACCTGACACTCTGGAGGCTGTATTTGAGCCAGTCTGGTCTACGTAGCAAGTTCCAGGTCACCCAGTGCTACATGACAAGTTCCTACCTCAAAACCACAACAAAAATCATTACAGGTGATGATGGAAGAGAATCAATGCTCTGTAGTGTAGAAACGTGAACCTGATCCAGGAGTGGTCCCTCACACCTGTGATCACCGTGGTATTGATCACTGAGGCAGGAGGATTTCTGAGTTTGAGACCAGCCTGGGCTACTCCTTCTGGAGTACTTAGTGTCAGAATTTAATCTCCCTGCTAGTCACGGTGATATACACCTATGTACTTGAGGGGTGGAGGCAGGAGGATCAGGAATTCAAGGTCATTTTTGGCTATGAGTTCAAGGCTAGCCTAGGCTACCTGAGACCCTGTCTCAAAACCAACCAAAATCCCTAGAATTTAATTTTCGTTTTGTTTTGGTCTTTTTGAGACAGGGTCTCCCTGTAGCCCCAGCTGTCCTGGAACTATGTAGACCAGGCTGGCCTTGAACTCACAGAGATCCGCCTGCCTCTGCCTCCCAAGTGCTGGGATTAAAGGCATGTGCCACCATGCCTGGCTAGAGAGATTTTTTTATTTTATGTGTGTGAGTGTTTACCTGCATTTATGTAAATGTACCATATGGATGACTGTTGCCCATGGAAGCCGGAAGAGGGTGTCATATCCCCTGGAACTGGAGTCAGATGGTTGTGAACTGCCATGTGGGTACCGGGAACTGAACCCAGGTCCTCTGTGACAGCAGCAAGCCCTCTCCAGCCCCTCAGAATTCAATCTATAGACAGTTCATGGCTACAGTGTAAAAATCAGCAAAAGTATACAAATGTGGTCACTGTTCTTCAGTAAGGGGCTGATTGAGTAAGTGCAGAATAGAAGGAAGGGATTTTTAAATCTATCAGGGGCTCGAGAAGACCAAAAAATTCCAGGTGGACAGCTCCTGAGGAACAACACCCGAGGTTGAAGTCTGGCCTCCACGTGTATGTACACACACATACATGTGCACATGCACACATGCACACACTACAAAAGAAATAGCTGTGTTTGGAATGGGGATGTTGAATCAAGTAACCCTTGCGTGTACTAAGCATGTGCTCTACCGCTGAGCCACCTGAGTAGACTAAATAAACTTGCAACTTTGTCAATTTAGCAATAAGACACCACCAGTTTCCCATCAGGCCTGGGTATTCATTCATTCAGAGCCCTTCAGGGTGACGAGAGGAGTGAGCCATTTTGATAAAGGGCCCAGCTCTCTGTGGGCTCTGACCTCGTCCCTCCTTGGACTGTCTCTTCCTGTGGAGCATGTTACCGTGGGATGAGTGACTTTCTCAAAGGCCTGGGTTCCTGTCGGTTTGTTCAGTGTCACTGAATGAATACTGAGTACTTGCTGTTGTTGTAGGCGCCAGGAGTACATAGCAGACCAGACTGCCAAAACCCAAGTAAGGGAGAGGGAAGGTACCCATCGTACCCAACAGAGCCACAAAACTGATTCCTTGAATAGAGGTCCGAAGACAAAGAAGGACCAAGCCGAGAAATGCAGGAGAGGTGACTGACTCCTCAGGGGAAGGTTGAACTATCTGTTGAGTGGCTTTATCACCTGTGAGTGAGGCTCAGCGAGGCCTTTGTAACCTGGGCAGCTTTTGGCTATTTTCACACAGTCAAACAGTCTTGGCTTGACTCAGAAGCCAGGAGTCCCTCGGACCTTTCTCAGATTCTGTGCATTTGAGCGAAGGTCACTGCAGCACCAGAACCAACCTATTGTTTGTTCCTTCAGAACACTGGATGCTTTGGGCTTCCTGCTAGGACTCGCAGAGACTTGTAAGGAGGTAGAAGTTGGGTGTCCACACTGCTTTCCTGAAGTGCTGGACTGTTGCAGTTTGTCAGCTGTCCTCAGCAGGCAAAGGCTGGGCTGATCTAGCAGTCAGTGGGCCAGGTGACTTAAAGAGTAAGCGACGACACTGTTATTAATGGAGCTAGCTTTCATTAACCCAGGGCTTCTGCTGGGTGCTAATTGTCTTTGTGTATTGCATTCGTTATTCTATCACCTCGAGCAGAGGATGTGTTTTACCTTCGTTTAACCTGAACACCTCCTACACGTGCCCCAGAGGAGAGCACAATGCCAAAGATTTGCTGCTGCTTGTTTTTGTTGCTTTGCTGACGTCCCCTCCCCTTAGAATGTAAACTTCACAAGGGCAGGAACATTGGTCCGTTTTGCTCAGTATTTCATCCCTGAAGTTAGAGCCTAAAAAACACTTGGCTAAGGGCTGGAGAGATGCTCAGCAGCTAAGGGCTGGAGAGATGCTCAGCAGGTAAGAGTACTTCTTGCTTTTCCAGAGGACCCAAGTTTGGTTCCCAGCACTCAGGTAGGATGGCTCAAAACTGCCCGTAACTCCAGCTTCAGGGGAATCTGATGCATCTATTCTCTTTGGGTACCTGAACTCGTGTACATACCCACGTACAGAGACACATACATACAATTAAAAAAAAATCTTGGCTTGGGCTAGAGAAATGACTTAGTGGTTAAGAGCACTGGCTGCTCTTGTAGAGGACCTGGGTTTGGTTCCCAGCACCCACATGGCACTTACAACTGTCTGTAACTCCAGTTCCAGGAGATCTTATGTCTTCTTCTGACCTCTGTGGGTACCAGACATGAATGTGGTACATTTACATACATGCAGAGAAACACTCATGCATAAAATTTAAAAAATCTTACAAATATTTATACATATATATTGTCTGTGTGTGTGTATTTTTGAGACAGGGTCTCCCTGTAGTCCCAGCTGTCCTGGAACTCACTATGTAGACCAGGCTGCCTTGAACTCACAAAGATCCTCCTGCCTCTGCCTCCCAAGTGCTGGGATTAAAGGCATGTGCCACCACGCCGGGCTTATTTATATTTTTAAATTTATGTGTGTGTGTGTGTGTGTGTATTGCCTGCATGTTTGTAAGTGCACCCAGGTCATGTAGTACCTGTGGAGGTCAGAAGAGGGCACTGGATCCCCTGGAACTGAAGTCACCTTCACTGATAGTTGTTAGCTGCCGTATGGCTGCTGGGAACTGAACCCAGGTCATCTGCAAGAACAATCAGTGCTCCTAACTGCTGAACCATCTCTCCAGCTCCCAAATTAAAAAAAAAAAATCTTAAAAAAAAGAAAATCTGGAGCTGGAGAGATGACTCAGCTGTTAAGAGCACTGACTGCTCTTGCAGAGGACCTGGGTTCGATTCC